TGGCAGGTAGGCTGCCTCAGGTGCTTCGCGCAGCGCTGTGCCGCGGGCTGGCCTACCCTCCCGACGACAGGCGCTACACAACTGATCTTATGCCGGTTCGGTCCACAGTACGACTGCGGTAGGGGCGGACAGAACTTTAGACGTTGTTCCCTCCCCGCTGGTGACCACAACACTTCATTACATACACTACATACATACCACAAGAAGCAACCCAAAACGAAGACGGATAGCAGGAATAGCACGTCAGCACCAGCGCCACAGCAAGACACCAGTCACTCGCACTACACTGCAACGAGGAAAGCACAACATTGAACACACCGGCCCATTCGTTCATACCACCCGAAGCGCCATAGCCCGGGCCTTGCATTCCATCCGATTCCATCTCATCATTTACCGACCACAACAGCAACAGCAGCCCACCAGGCACACACACTATTCACTCAGTATTCACTCTCAGCTCGACACGCAGCAAACACGACACGACGCGACACGCACAAGATCGCACTAACAACTGATGGCATACGCGCCACGCCGCCCGTCGGGGAAGGGGGGCGGCCAGGCTGTCTTGCCGCCCCGCCAGGGCTGGCAGGCAGCCGCGTCCACGTCGTCCAGTCGTGCCGCTCTTGGTGGAGACGGGGTAAAACTCCAGCGCGCTCGGGGGCCCGGGGGCACAGACAGCCACAGCCCGCACTGCTGGAAATAACCACAACAAAAGTACACAAATTTCTGGCAAATTTTTAGCAGATGATACGTTCACGTATCAGCGTGCTTGTACTCTCGTGCAGAGAGTACCGAGTTTCCGGCTAGCCAGCCAGCAGTTGCCTCGTTGCCTGACTAGCAAGCCTAGAAGAGGCCGCGTGCCTCGCCGGCAAGGCAGCGGCTGCCTGCCTAGAAGATTATGAGCGGAGGGCCTGCAGTCTGCCGCGCCGTGCCGCGCGCCGCATCATAAAACGGGGCGCCTGCGGGGGCTCGGGTTGCGCGCGCGGCGGAAAACCTCGACAACACCCAGCTATCTAGTACTCATGAAGTGCGTCCCTCGCGTGGCGCGTCGTCACGAGACGCTGCTAGCACGCATAGCTTAGCTGCCCCCCTCGCCCATTCCCTTGCCGAGACGCCACGTCCCGCCGCGCCCCGCCACACCCCGCAGCAGTCTACACACACACGCACTTGAACCTTGAGTGCGTAGAACGCATAGCGCAGAGCCCCCCCCCCCCCACCCCTGCCCCTCTCGAGAAGCGGCGCGTCGGCTGTCGGCAGTGTGCGCCACTCTTGCTTATCTATCTTGAGGTTGGGTTCGGGTGGCGCGCCGGCCGGCCGGCCCCGCTTGGAGATGTGGCTGACACGCCGCGTGCCGCAAGGCGCCTTGCCCTAGTACCGAACACAAATTTTACGGGTATTGAGTATTTATGTGATTAACCACCAGTGCATCCTCGCGTTGAAACAACGAAAATGATACCCAACACAAGTGGTATCGGACATATGAGTGTCCCACCGTCATTGCGAACATGGCACGTTAGGATATTCAAAAGTTATACTAAAATAGATATTTTCATGAATTACCATGCGTAAGAAATTTGTCAAAAAAAGAGTTCCGAGTGTTTACTCTTTGAAATAAATTGACAAAATGTCACGTTCATACATTTAAATAAACATTCTCATAAGTATCATCTGCTTTCACGTTAGCGTTAGCGTTAACGTTTTTTATCAGGAATTTAGTGTACTTATCAAGTACAACAAATGTTGTACAAAGTACAATGGAACTGGCATGACGAGTGCTGTGCAGTCAAGGGCTCGTTGTGGTTTGTACAATTCTCGTTGTACTTTCTACAATCCCTGTTGTACTTTTATTGTACAGTTTTTGTTGTACTTTTGTTGTACTATCCACACTTTTTCTTGCAGTGCGGGGGCCACGGGTGCCAATTCCAGCACCTGGCTGGTTGAGGCACCTGCCCTGCCACCCTGGTCCTGGCTGGCCGGCAGGGCGCGCGCACACACACACGCACGCACACACACACACGCGCACGCACACACACACACGCGCACGCACACACACACACACACACACACACACACACACGCCGCGGCGTTTCCCAACGCCGCATTCTGCGATACACTCCACTGGGTGAATCAGGAGGACCGGGCCCGACCGCGGGCCGCTCGTACTACCTCACGGCGGCCGCGCATGAGTCACAGGGGGCGTGGCGGCGCGTGGCGGCCTCTATTGGCGGCGGGCTGTCCTTGCAGAGTGAATCCACTCGGTTGCATAGCTGCGTTTGCCGCGCCGTGGCGTGGCGTGCCATGGCGTGGCGTGCCGCGCACCATCCCGCCCCGGTAGCCCGCCCCTATTATATTGTTAGGATACGCACTTCGATTCTGGACTCTAGAGTAAACCTGTCTAACAGGCTGCTGCCGATCACGCTCGCCCCTTAAAAAGGAACCGTGCACGCACGTTATTATTACAACACGTTATTAACAACATTATTACACGCTACACGCTGCGCACCGCGCCGAGTCTCGCCCAGTCTCGGCGACCTGCGCGTACATGCCCCGCCGCGCGCGCGTTTTCGCCGAGGGGGAAACGACTTCGGTTATCCGATGTACAGCAAATTGGGTATCCGCTATCCGGATAACCAGAAATTTCGAAGTAATCCGGGGAAATTCTGAGGTAATCCGGGGTAATCCGGGGAATTTCTGAGGTAATCCGGCGTAATCCAATGGTAATCCTGGAAATTTTTCGATGTAGTCCGGAGGTAATCCGCGGGTTATCCGGGGTTATCCCTATCCGATGTACACAAAATGTTTGAGTCGTTTCCCCCTTGGTTTTCGCCGACCTGACCGAATCCCACCGATCATTAGCGGCTACTGACGGAATTGCTGACGCTGTTGCGGGCCGCGGCGGCAGCGCGCTAGCGGCGCTAGCCTTGGCGGCAGCGGATACGGGACTCCAGCCAGACCCATTCCGAGAGGCGCATTCGTCGCTCTGTCTCGCTCGCACTCATGGGGCGTCCCGTGTAGGTGCGAGAGAGACGGAGCGACGAAAGCGACTCTCAGTCTGCAGCAGCGCGGCGGCGAGGCCACGGCACCCAGCGGGCCCACCCATCATGGACCGGCCAGGCAGGCCAGGCCCACAGGGCTGATAACTGGCCCTTGTTTTTACAAACAAGGAGAAAGGGACACACTACTATCAACCGGCAACAGCAGCCAGTCCACCCACCGCCGCACAGTGGGTCAGAAGACCGGTGGAGGCGGACAAAACTCTGGACACGTTTTGAGCTGCAGAGTCGCTAAACAGGACTCGAGCCGAACGTGTGACCCCACCTTTGGACTCACCGTTCAGAGAGCGATCCATGGGTGGGGTCACACGTTCGGTTCGAGCCCCGAGTATTACTCCAAGGTCCGCCACGGGGCCCGTGCGGCCACGCCCTTGCAGGGAACGAATCGAAACTTTTTGCCGAAAATACAACAATCACAGGAGTCTACATCGTTTGTCAGACCGACGTTTGTCCGACCTGCCGAAATTTGTCCGACCTCCTTTTCCCTTAAATTTTTGTCCGACCGACGTTTGTCCGATCGACGTTTGTCCGACCGACGTTTGTCCGGCCGACGTTTGTCGGCCAGGCAGGGCACGGCGAAACTCTCGCAGCGCAGCGCCGCCGGCCACGCAGTAGTGTGTGTAGGTTTCACCAAGCGGCAGCATTTCCCGCGACGCAAAGAAGGCCTTCACCTTCGCGTCCCCAGCGCGTGCGACAGGCTGCCGACAGGCACACCAACGCACACGCACACACTGTGTGCCAGACCGTCTGTGTGACAGACCGGAAAGGCCTCTGAAAGGCTCTAGCGTCACTGATTGGGCAATCTGCATTGCGCGGTATTAGCAGAGTGTTAACGGCTGCTATGCCCTGTCAGCGCGCTGCCCCTTGCGGATGTACGAGCAATCAGCAGAAATTGATGATCAAGGAAAAAATCACCTGAAAATCAAATTTTGCTGGATAAGGCTTCTTTGACAGCAGAAACCGTAAAAATATATTATTTCTTGGCGAGCTCTCATAGGTGATGGGGCAAATTATTGAATGAAAATTACATTCACATAATATAAAGTACAAGTTTCATTTATTAAATGTAATAGATTTGATAGTACACAAACCACTGTGAAAGTTTCATTTATTAAATGTAATAGATTTGATAGTACACAAACCACTGTGAAGAATACACTTTTGTGAAATTAACAAAGAAACACCACAAACACCAGAAACACCAGAAAATTACAAAAACTATGAGAACATAGCCTGTTTTAAAACCATCCTCCAATCAAAAATTATCAGACAAATTCAGAATAAAGAATAAGAATAAAGCTATAAGTACAGTGGGACATTAAAAAAAACTAGAATTCATCATCATCCAGCTCTGGCCCCACGTCATTAATGACTCGGAATTCACCTGAATAAACAGTTGAAGAAAAATAAGAGCTCGTCTCCTTACGTAATTCTCTCTGCTTACACTGTAAATCCAAAGGCAATACTTTTAGCACTTTTTTTGGCGATACAATTGTGTATCGCCAATAAACGGCCTTACGGAAAAGTATTGCCTTGAAAACGGCGATACACAAAAGTATCGCCAAAATTTGGCGATTGGAGTATTGCCACGATTTGGCAATAAACGTCGAACAAATCAAGGGGACCAGACCTTGGTTTAATGCCGTGGTTTTGGCAATATCCAAAAGTACTGCCAAATTATGGCGATACTTTTCTGTATCGCTGTTCTGAAGGCAATACTTTTCCGTAAGGCCGTTGTATCGCCAAAAAATGTACTTTAGTATCGCCGTTGCATTTGCAGTGTAAAGGCGGGTATCCTCCTTCGTCACTTCGCTCACCTGCAAGATATCCTTCACATATGCACTGAGTTGGTGGCAAGCGATCGAGAATGGTAGTAGGAAGGCTAGGAGGTACAGGCACTTGACTCATAAGCAGCCCTGCCACGTTCTGAAAGCCAAAAAAATAAAATAAATAAAACTAGTTTTAGCACCGCGCCATCTTGGCATCACGCACACATTTCAATGAAAGCGTCTTACAGGTTCCTGCATTTGGCCCTCCTCTGTCACTACTCTAACAGAGACCCTCGACGCTGCGAGCTCCTCAAAGACGGTTGGGTGCTGCACCACCATCGCTCTGGCATTACGCCATGAAAGTACGAGCTGCAGACAAAAAGAAAATCAGCGCTTTTGTGTAAGGCTAATCGGGAGCGACGAGACCCTGACGGAATAGCATTGCTGAATAACACTTACATGTCCCCTACTCCTGGCCAGGTAAACGAGGTGGAGGCGGTGTGTTCTCACCCTTGCGTTTTCCTCAGAGACTCCATGATTGTGAACATGATGAAAGTGGGCGGGGAACTGCCGTTCCTCCCACCCCGGCAGCGGGCAGAGCGGGCAGGTCGCCACCCGCTTCTTGGCCTGCGCGTTCTTGTCGGAGCTCTTTAGATTTAATACGGCGAGGCGCTGAGGAGAGTAAGCAGTATGCTCCATCTGCCAAAGAACAAAAAAAAAGAAATAACACATTGCCACACTGAGAAAACCTTACAAACTATTTTGGGCATTACAAAGAAAAGTAGTTTGTATAACAAAGTATTTTGAGCATACGTAAGCTTACAAAGAAAATACTTCGTAATTTACGAACTATTTCTTCGTATAACAAAGTATTTTAGTTTGTTATATGTATGCTCAAAATAGTTCGTAAGGTTTTAAGAGTGCAGTTGATTAAAAGTAGAGGCCTAAGTTTGCGTTGAAAGAATTACCTCTCCAAACTGCACCACCGGGGCCTGCGCAACACACCCGGTCCAGGCACCGGCCAGCAATAGCAGCGCTACTACTGGCGCGGGCATGGCCAAGAGCACCTCCCTGCAAGCAAATATAACGTTAGGCCTGTACTCCAGCCATCAAATGTCGTTCTCACGGTAGGCCAGCCCGCCACTCAGCTGGGTCTGAGCCAGCGGTTCCCAATCTGGAAGGCGTCACCCACGGCATAACCGTCCGCGCCCCCAGCTGTTTAAAACGGGGCCTCTCCGAAAAAACGGGGCGAAGGGGCGTGGGGAGTCGAACCGCGGCCGTCGCATCGAAAAAGCGAGGCGTTCGCCACCGCCGCGCCGCGCCACCCCCGGACGGCGCCGGGTCGATAACCACCCCGCGGCGCCGCGGCCGCCAATGGAGCGTCGCGACGCCCGCCGCCACCGCGAGCCAATCACAGACCGCGGCGTCCATGCTGCCCAGGGGCGCTTTGTTCGGACGCCGACAGCTAGGCGCCTTTCGCGGGTTCGAATCCCGCAGGCGCCAAAGTGACAGTGTCGGCGTCTTGTTTTCAGGGCTGCCACGCTGCCGCGCCACTGCGCGTGAATGCCTGACTGCCTGACCCACTGCAGTGACAGGCTGGGCCACAGGCTGGGCCACAGGCTGGGCCACAGGCTGGGCCGGCCGTGTTCAAACACTGATAAACCTCCTCCGCCTTTCCGCAGACCTGACTGACCACCAGCAGGCCGCTTCCGAACGGCGACGCTCCGTCTCTCTCGCACTCGCGGGGCGCGCCGTCGGGGCGCGAGGGAGACAGCGCGACCGAACCACTGTTCGGCCAGGCTGCCGGCCAGGGCACAGTCCTCGCTCGCCACGCCTTGAACACACGCCTGCCCGGCCTGCCCCGTGTGCAAAGGCCAGCGGGCTCATTCCGGCGTCTGTCTCTCTCGCACCCCCGCGGCCCTACGGGACACCCCGTGAGTGCGAGCGAGACGGAGCGACAGCCTGCAGGCCACTTGTTGACTTCCGCTTGCCGCTGCCGCCGCGACGCCAAGGATCCCAGCCGAACGCGAACGATTCGCAGCGCAACACTCCTCGCCCTAAAGTCCCAGGCCGACCTGGCCGTCGCGCTTACAGTGTGCAGGTGGAGCGGCGCGGACACTCCAGTGGCGTGACGCTGCGCATCCACCTGTGGAAATGACGGCGATAAACCACCCCTCGCGGCCCTGGCGGCCCTCACGCATAAGCAGGGCGAGGGTGTACGTGTGTGTGCGTGTGTGTGTTCGTGTGTATGGGAGCGTGACAAGGGAGGGGGACTCCGCGTGATTCGGAATCTCAATGTAAATGGTTGGCGCACAGGAAGCGCGTCCACGCACCGCGCCCTGGCAGTCAGTGCTCCGTCTCTCTCTGTCGCACCAGCAGGGCGGGCAGTGTGGGAGCGAGAGAGACGGACCGATTGGCTGCTGGGGACGCTGAGGCAACGCCACGGCACTGCTTATCTCCCTGGCCGGCCTTCCAGGCCTTCCCTTCTGCAGACTGATTCCGAGAGTCGTTTACATCGTGCCGTCTCTCTCGCACCGCTCCGCGTCGCCCCGTGAGTGCGACAGAGACAGAGCGAAGAGACGCCGCAGTTACGGACGGCGACTTGGCGCGGACGCGTGCTGTACTTTTCCCGAACTCGTCGACTGCAGCCCGATTCCGAATCCGAGCCGCACTTCCTTCGCCCTGTCTCTCTCGCACTCATGGGGCGCGCCGGAGGGGTGCGAGAGAGACAGCAAATACAGCCTGCGTGAAATAATCCCCCTCTAAATCGCCCCCGCCCCCTCGCTTGTATATTCGGGAGGCTCGGGGCTTGACGACCGGGCTGGCGGCAGGCGCCCCGCCCTCGCCCCCGCCCCCGCCCCCACCCCCACCCCCACCGCGGCCACCCCTCAGCCCAGCGCCCCACCACGGCCCCACCCCCGACGGGCCGCCACGGCCGCCACGGCGCGCTATTTCAGAGGGGGTTATTTTTAGGGGAACGGGGCCCGTGCCCACCGTGCTGCAAACTGATTCCGAGAGCCGTTTTTGTCACTCTGTCTCTCTCGCACCGGTACGGCACACCCCTCGAGTGCGAGAGAGACAGAGCGACGAAAGCGGCTCTCGGAAATCAGTCTAGTGGTGGTGCTTGCCGAACTCCAGGTGGCCGCCGTCCTCGTGGTTAGGGAAGCCGCGCCGCGGCCCGCGGGGGCGCACAGTGGACCAGAAGACCAGTGGAGGCGGCCAAAACTCTAGACGCGTTTTGAGCTCTAGAGTCGCTAAATGGGAGTCCGTACCAATGGATTGCTCTTCGAACGAGGAATCCATCGGTGGGTTCAGTCACACGTTCGGTTCGAGGCCTGATTAGCGGCTCTGGAGCTTTGGCCGCCTCCACCGTTCTTCTGACCCACTGTGGGGCGTCGCCGGGGAGGCCGTGACAAAAGCAGTGCTGGCCGCCACCAAGCTCGGCACCGCGCAGCCTTGCCACGGGTCGGCCAGAACAGCGTAGGCCAGCCCGCTCAACAGGCCGTCTCCGAAAGGGCCAAAGGCACGTCTATAATGGATTTAAACTAAATTATAGAGGTTCTGGCCGGGATGCGGCCGCGCTTAAGTTAAGTTAAAGTGGAGAGAGAACGCCGCCGTGAACTACCAGTTCGACTAGTTCGCCCTGCGTTTGTTTTTGTGTGTCTGCACGCCGCATTCGCTCGCGTGGGTGCACTGCACCGCACTGCACGCGCGCTGCCCTGCTCCGAGAATCGGACGGTACACAGTGGGCCAGAAGCCGGTGGAGGCAGACAAAACTCCAGACGCGTTTTGAGCTCCAGAGTCGCTAAATGGGACTCGAACCGAACTTGTGACCGAACTTGCGCTGCGAGTGAGCGCCCCGTCACGTGCTGGTGTATCACCGACATGACCGGGCGGGCCCGAAAGGCAGACGATCACTTCACTTGTGGTCGCAATCGCCCAGCGGGGTAGGCAGTGCGCCTCGCAGACGTGTGCGCTAGCTGCCTACGCTGCAGGCTGACCGGCTGGGACGGTGGAGGCGGTCAAAAGCCCGGACGCGTTTTCAGCTCCAGAGTCGCTGAACGGGACTCGAACCGAACGTGTGACCCCCACAAATGGATTGATCTCCGAACGAGGAATCCATTGGTGGGGTCACACGTTCGGTTCGAGCCTTGTTTAGCGACGCTGGAGCTCAAAACGCGTCTAGAGTTTTGGCCGCTCCACCGACGTCTGGCCCACTGTGGGCCGGCGGGCCACGGAGCGGGTCGCGAGGCAGGTGCCGGATGCACGGCACTCATTTTGCCCAAAAATAGGCCAGCCGGCGCGACGCACGCATCACGCCTCGCTGACTTACGGCAGTCTCTCCGTCCCTCTCGATCCCACTCGGCACGCCCCGCGAGTGCGAGAGAGACAGCACGACGCACGACTCATCGCAGTGCGGGCCGGCAGGATGTACCGCAGGACACGCGAGTCAGCTGGATTTGGCCTTTCGGGGCCCGTGGCCACCGTGCTGCAAACTGATTCCGAGAGCCGTTTTTGTCACTCTGTCTCTCTCGCACCGGTACGGCACACCCCTCGAGTGCGAGAGAGACGACTCAGCCGCGACTCGCGGGACGCACGCCACCAAGTCCCGGCGCCACGTAGGACTTGTCCGTGGGGGCGAGTCGTCGATGGAGTCGAACCGCGGACCTCTATAGTTGCTTTTGTAGCTATATAGACGTGGTACTTCCAGAGTAGGCCAGCCCGCCACTCAGCTGGGTCTGAGCCAGCGGTTCCCAATCTGGAAGGCGTCACCCATCATCCGGCATAACTCTGTCAGTTTTCATCGCACAAAAAAAAACGTTCCTCGGCACCACCACGCCGACACCCCGTCACGACACCGTCACGACACCGTCCCTGGTCCACAAACACGGCACGGCACGGCGCGGCCCCGATGTGGGATGCAGAGCAATGCAGAGCACCAGCGAGGTGTGGATCACCAGATACCGTACCTGGGAACAGGCACCAGCCCCGCTGTGATTGCTTTTAGCAGTATTCCCGACCGTGTGGCGATGCTCCGCAAGCGGTTAGGGTCACCGTGGACCTGACCCATGTGGTCCGCTTGGGGGCACCTGTAAATCCACTGTATGCTACGCAGCTTGGCGGTCACTGGACCCCTGTACCATACCTGGAACAAAAAAGACCACAAAGATTAGTAGAAGACAGCAGAGAAGTAAATAAAAACACGTGGGCCACCAGGACCACCACACACACCACGACCACCGCGGGAACATGGCCAATCGACTGGCCATTTCCGGGAACGGAACCGGAAGATGCGGGCGGGAAATCAGAGCAGAGTAACGCTCTGTCCGCCACACCCTTAATGTTTTTGTACAAATTTTGAACGAGACGTCACAGTTTTTTGTGCAGACGAACATTTCGAACAAGTTTGTACGCGATTTTGTACACAAATGGGAAAGTATGTGCAGTTTTTCGTACAAAAATTGTGCGAAAAGTTCGTACGGGGCGATGCTCGATTCCACACACGCTCTCCCTCTGTCCCTCTCGCTCCCTTGGCTTACCGATTCCCAGAGTCGTTTTCGTCGCTCGGTCTCTCTCGCACCTGTGCGGCGCGCTCCGTGAGTGCGAGAGAGACCGAGTGACGAAAGCAACTGTCGGAATCAGTCGGCATGACGGGAGCGCAGGCGGAGATGCCTCCTTTTTGAAAATTTGATCCGGTGTACAGAGATAAATTCGGTATTTGCACGATAAAGGAAAAAAGAAAACAGAAAAGTTTCCAAGTTTCCGCCTCGTATTGCCTGGCAGAGGCCCGTGTCGAAACGAGTCGATGAATCGGACCGCGGTATGCGCCAATTTGAACCCTCGGCGCTGCAAAAGCACCGGCTGGAGGTGGGAACGGCGTCCACTCCAGGCCCGACCGACGGAACTCAAGATAGGAGGGAAAAGGGAGGGGGGACACGGTCCACTTTTGCACTTTCAATCGTTAGTTGTAGCAGAATGGCAAGTGCTGCAGAGGCCCGCTACGGCTCAAAAGAACGGCCTTTCAATACTCTAGCCGCGTGGCGAATACCAGGGCCGAAGCTCAAGACATGTCCAGTAGAGGCAGAGACTCGTCGATTTGGTCCAATGTTTCGGATTGTCAACTTCAAATTGTGGACGCACACACTAAATGTTTATGTACAATTTTATACGTGGTGATGCATAATTTTAAACTTGTGTGCCATCGTGCATAAAATTGTGCGTGAATTTGCATAAATTTATGCATTTTCACGCATAATATTATGCAGATTCCCCGCATGCACAAAATCGTGCAAGTGGCACGTACAAAATTCTACATAAACATTAAGTGTGCAGATTGAGCTGGAAACATGAACATGATAGGCTGGACCAGGAATGATGGCCCTGCGAGGCCCTGCGAGAGTATCACCGTGCCCTGCCTGGCCCTGCGAGTGTGTGTGTGTGTGGCTGGGGAAATAGGTCGTGACTTACTCTAGGTTCATCATCATCGTGATCCATTTCATCAGGTAGCTGCTCTCCTTGATCTTCGCCCTGCGGCTCATCTAGATTGCCATCATTACCATCATCCTGAGGGTCTGGATGAGGCACCTGCTCTTCTTGGTGGTGCTGCTGCTGTTGGTTAAGCAGGTCGACTAGGGCCTGCAAAATGACACACATTTAGATCCGTGCGCGCGCGCGTGTTGTATTTTACAGCGAACGGACTTACTTCAAGGTCAGAGCATTTCTTTTGCAGGGCTTCAACCTGCTCAAGCGCCTGATGATGTGCTTGTTCTATGCCTTGAGCACGCTCTTCAGCCAGAAGACGGGCGCGCTCCTGCTGCCTCTCAAAATTTTGACGCTCTTGTTCAATCTTCTGCTCGCATTGCTGAGTCACCTCTTCCCAAGAGCGCTGGGCCACTTGCCGGAGATCAACCTCATGAGCTCGTTCTGCCTCTGTATATTGCTTCTGGAAGTCCAGACGAGCTTGTTCCAGCTGCTGGGCCGCCTGGTCTTTTTGCTGCTGTTGCTGCTGGTTGTGCAGCTGGACTACGGCCTGCAAAATGACACACATTTAGATCTGTGCGCGCGCGCTTGTTGTACACTGGTAAAACTAAAGCGTAACTCTATGCTTGAGTCAAGCATAAAGTTACGCTTGAAGACGTTACGCTTGAAATGAAGCATACTCTAGAAATTCCCCCATGCATTTAGATAGGTGGAATCTTGGCGGTTGGGACTGTTACGCTTGATTTCAAGCGTAACCTGATTACGCTTGCAAACAGAGGGTAAAACTACGCTTTAGTTTTACCAGTGTATTTTACAGCGAACGGACTTACTTCAAGGTCAATGCACTTCTTTTGAAGGGTGCCATGAGTTTGTTCCATGTCTCTATATTTCTGTTCCGACAGCAGACGGGCTTCTTCCAGCTGCTCTTGAAAGCTCCGCCGCTCCAGCTGAAGCTGCTGCTGGAAGTTATCGCGCTCCAGCTGAAGCTGCTGCTGAAAGTTGTCGCGTTCGATCTGAAGTTGTTGCTGAAACTGCTGTTGACACTCTTGTTGAGCGCGCTCAACAGCGCGTTGTATGTCCTGCTGCTGCCGAGCCGGCTGTGGCACCACCGCGGCAATCAGCCTTCGAGCCTCCGCCTGCAATAATGAATCAAAGAAAAAATGGTGATACAAATCGCGTCTGGCGAGGGGGAAATCACTCCTAAAACCTGCGACCCGACTATTACGCCTATAACGCTCTATTACGCCTCAAAATATAGCGATTTAGCTGAAAACAGACCAAAAAACCCCTATAATAGATCAAATTTTGAGAATTTCCGCTATTACGCTACTATTACGCACACTATTACGCGTGCTATTACGGACAGAGTGACCCGACTATTACGCGAGTGCTTTCCCCCTCGGCGTCTGGGGTCAAAATAGTTGTCATTTTCTTTATCAGCACCCACAACAATGCCAAACTCGAAATAAAAATTTCGGTCGTATTACACCTCACCGGGATTCGAACCTGCAATTTGGATGGAAAGACTTCACGCCAAAATATGGCAAGACATTAAAGTCTCGCCAGGTTTTGGTCAGACCTGAAAGTCTCGCCAAAATTTGGTCAGACAAAAAAGTCTCGCCACAAAACGGTCATACACAAAAGTCTGACCACAAAATGGCGAGACTTTTGTGTCTGACCACGGCCTTTAGGCCGTAACCGTCCGGCGCATTACGGCCTTTCGGTGGCGGTCAGACAGAAAAGTTTCGCCATTTTGTGGTCAGACTTTTGTGTATGACCGTTTTGTGGCGAGACTTTTTTGTCTGACCAAATTTTGGCGAGACTTTTAGATCAGACCAAAACTTGGCGAGACTTTTATGCCTTGCCTCTGGAGTGGCGAGAAGTCTGACCTTTTGATTTGTAGTGTGGGTCCAAACCTTTCCGATTGGCTCGAAAGGTGCGGTTTACTTACCTTTCCAGCGACCAATTCCTGTCTGTACTTGGGTAGATAGTCTTCTTCGTGCATTGCATCGATAAGTGCTGGTGTGGCCCGGCCGATGATGCGGGCTGGCACCACGATGTTAACTTCACTGAAAACAAACATTGATTGCGTTTTTAGTTGGCCCATCCTGCACTGCGACGACGCCGGGACTGGGAGATGCTTGAGTTGTCCAATTTGGTCGATTTGGTGCAAAGTTCCGAATTTCGACCTTCAAACGGTCATTCACTGGTCGAGAATCGAGCTAGAAAGCCCAGCGACGTCTCAAAACAAAGGCATTGAATGCTTCTAGAGGCTGGTTTGGGCCGAAGTACAATAACATTCAAAGGGGTCAGGCAGCGGCCGAAACCTCCCGAAAATTTCAGTGGTGCAAAATGGTGACATTCCCCGATTCGACCGAGAAAAACGGTCTCACGACGAGACAGATTGACGTAGACGGATGCGGCTTGCATTGAATTGTTCTTCGAAATTCCGTGACCCAAAATTGATTTTTTACCTTATGGGAAGGGAGAAGGACTTACTTTTTTTGACCCAGCCATTGTAGAGTATACTTCCCAGCACTGAAACTCTGGATGACCGCGGGGTACCTTTTCCCCCCCACCACGGAGGGCCAGAGCGCCACCACCACATCGCCGACGGAATACCTGCAACACAATAAAATTAGACGTTTTAAACATGGATTCCCGAGGAGAGGTTCATCACTCTGTCTCCCTCGCACCCTGACGGCGTGCTCTGCGAGTGGGACAGAGACGCTACTGTACGCGACGACGACGACGGCCCCTCGCCTTCCCCTACACCGACAAGCTGAAGGTCCTCGGCGTCACCTTCCAGGATGACGTCAAGACCACCACCAAGGACAACTGGCCGGCGTGCGATAGGCGTGCTGCTCGCCGACGCGGCGCGGGCACTAAGGCCTACGCAGCGGGCGCGGTATGTCAGCATGTTCGCTCTTTCCAAGCTCTGGCACGTGGCGCAGGTCGTGCCCGTCTCCAAGGGCGTGGCCGACGCTGTGGTGAGAGCTGCTGCGAGGTTCCTGTGGCGCGGCGGACTGATTCCGAGAGTCATTTAGATCGCTCTGTCTCTGTCGCACCTGTCCGGGACTCTCACGAGTGCGAGAGAGACGGAGCGACAGCGGGCGGGCAGGTCAGGCACGCGGTGAGGTATGCGGGGAAAGGAACCCGCTCCCGTTTCGGACAGCGAGACCGAAGCAGGCAGGCACACTGCTCAGGTGCAGCGCGATCCGGGACGCGAGGCACTGGACCCGGGCCACCCTGACCAGGCTCTTGGGCAGCACGGCCACGGGCCACGCCCAGGACGCTGCTGCAGCCTACCTTCGCGCCGCGCCGGACGACCCCGACGGGCGGGCCACGGAGCGGGTCGCGAGGCAGGTGCCGGATGCACGGCACTCATTTTGCCCAAAAATAGGCCAGCCGGCGCGACGCACGCATCACGCCTCGCTGACTTACGGCAGTCTCTCCGTCCCTCTCGATCCCACTCGGCACGCCCCGCGAGTGCGAGAGAGACAGCACGACGCACGACTCATCGCAGTGCGGGCCGGCAGGATGTACCGCAGGACACGCGAGTCAGCTGGATTTGGCCTTTCGGGGCCCGTGGCCACCGTGCTGCAAACTGATTCCGAGAGCCGTTTTTGTCACTCTGTCTCTCTCGCACCGGTACGGCACACCCCTCGAGTGCGAGAGAGACAGAGCGACGAAAGCGGCTCTCGGAAATCAGTCTAGTGGTGGTGCTTGCCGAACTCCAGGTGGCCGCCGTCCTCGTGGTTACGGAAGCCGCGCCGCGGCCCGCGGGGGCGCACAGTGGGCCAGAAGACCAGTGGAGGCGGCCAAAACTCTAGACGCGTTTTGAGCTCTAGAGTCGCTAAATGGGAGTCCGTACCAATGGATTGCTCTTCGAACGAGGAATCCATCGGTGGGTTCAGTCACACGTTCGGTTCGAGGCCTGATTAGCGGCTCTGGAGCTTTGGCCGCCTCCACCGTTCTTCTGACCCACTGTGGGGCGTCGCCGGGGAGGCCGTGACAAAAGCAGTGCTGGCCGCCACCAAGCTCGGCACCGCGCAGCCTTGCCACGGGTCGGCCAGAACAGCGTAGGCCAGCCCGCTCAACAGGCCGTCTCCGAAAGGGCCAAAGGCACGTCTATAATGGATTTAAACTAAATTATAGAGGTTCTGGCCGGGATGCGGCCGCGCTTAAGTTAAGTTAAAGTGGAGAGAGAACGCCGCCGTGAACTACCAGTTCGACTAGTTCGCCCTGCGTTTGTTTTTGTGTGTCTGCACGCCGCATTCGCTCGCGTGGGTGCACTGCACCGCACTGCACGCGCGCTGCCCTGCTCCGAGAATCGGACGGTACACAGTGGGCCAGAAGCCGGTGGAGGCAGACAAAACTCCAGACGCGTTTTGAGCTCCAGAGTCTAGACCACACCAAACGTGGCCAAACGTGGTCTAGACCACACCAAACGTGGCCAAACGTGGTCTAGACCACACCAACTGATGCGGTCAAAATGGCATCCATTTGACCACACCAATGATGCGGTCTAGACCACGTTTGGTTTTTCAGTGCAGACTGGGTTCTAAAGTCTGACAAAATTGTGTGCAGCCAAACATGTCTCGCCATTTTGTGGCGAGACATTTTTGTCTGACCAAATGAGTGGCGAGAAGTCCGACCTTTGGCTTCGGACTGCTTCTGCTGCTTCTGCAGCGTCCCTTCGCGCAAGAACGCGGGCCTGCAAACAAAGCTAGTAGGGAAACGCGGCGACAGGAGGCGAACACTGCAAGCATGCAAGTCTGCAAGTGAACATACTTCCAACGACTCCCCAATATGGGCCAGCGAACGGCTCCCGCGGCCTCTGCCTGCCATCACGCTAACTAGCAACGGATGCTTGCATTGTAGGCTTTACAGCTTTTCATTGTAGGCTCTACAGCTCCCCCTCCCCCGGTTCCCCCTGAGGCTCTCTGTCTCTCTCGCACCTCGACGGGCCTCCAGCCCCGCGGGCCAGCCGGCTAGCGTGAGCCAGTCACCCTCCATCATCTCGGAATCAGTCTGCAGAAGGGAAGGCCTGGAAGGCCGGCCAGGGAGATAAGCAGTGCCGTGGCGTTGCCTCAGCGTCCCCAGCAGCCAATCGGTCCGTCTCTCTCGCTCCCACACTGCCCGCCCTGCTGGTGCGACAGAGAGAGACGGAGCACTGACTGCCAGGGCGCGGTGCGTGGACGCGCTTCCTGTGCGCCAACCATTTACATTGAGATTCCGAATCACGCGGAGTCCCCCTCCCTTGTCACGCTCCCATACACACGAACACACACACGCACACACACGTACACCCTCGCCCTGCTTATGCGTGAGGGCCGCCAGGGCCGCGAGGGGTGGTTTATCGCCGTCATTTCCACAGGTGGATGCGCAGCGTCACGCCACTGGAGTGTCCGCGCCGCTCCACCTGCACACTGTAAGCGCGACGGCCAGGTCGGCCTGGGACTTTAGGGCGAGGAGTGTTGCGCTGCGAATCGTTCGCGTTCGGCTGGGATCCTTGGCGTCGCGGCGGCAGCGGCAAGCGGAAGTCAACAAGTGGCCTGCAGGCTGTCGCTCCGTCTCGCTCGCACTCACGGGGTGTCCCGTAGGGCCGCGGGGGTGCGAGAGAGACAGACGCCGGAATGAGCCCGCTGGCCTTTGCACACGGGGCAGGCCGGGCAGGCGTGTGTTCAAGGCGTGGCGAGCGAGGACTGTGCCCTGGCCGGCAGCCTGGCCGAACAGTGGTTCGGTCGCGCTGTCTCCCTCGCGCCCCGACGGCGCGCCCCGCGAGTGCGAGAGAGACGGAGCGTCGCCGTTCGGAAGCGGCCTGCTGGTGGTCAGTCAGGTCTGCGGAAAGGCGGAGGAGGTTTATCAGTGTTTGAACACGGCCGGCCCAGCCTGTGGCCCAGCCTGTGGCCCAGCCTGTGGCCCAGCCTGTCACTGCAGTGGGTCAGGCAGTCAGGCATTCACGCGCAGTGGCGCGGCAGCGTGGCAGCCCTGAAAACAAGACGCCGACACTGTCACTTTGGCGCCTGCGGGATTCGAACCCGCGAAAGGCGCCTAGCTGTCGGCGTCCGAACAAAGCGCCCCTGGGCAGCATGGACGCCGCGGTCTGTGATTGGCTCGCGGTGGCGGCGGGCGTCGCGACGCTCCATTGGCGGCCGCGGCGCCGCGGGGTGGTTATCGACCCGGCGCCGTCCGTGGGTGGCAAGGGGTGGCGCCGCGGCGGGTTGGTCAGCGGCCGCCATTTTGCACTTGTCCGCGTGCTGGCGGCCGGGGAGGGCGTCGACGGGCACCCCGCGGCCCCGACATGGCGGCGCGCCGCCCTCGCCCTGCGGGGCATGTCGCCCCACGTGGCCGCCAGGACGCCATGAAAGGCGTCTCTGTATCCGCCTGTCCGCCTCGACATGTGGCCGGGGGCTGCACTGCCGCCAGGCCGGCAGCGATTCGATGCTCGTCGCTCTGTCTCTCTCGCACCCATGCGGGAAGCTGCGCGAGTGCGACAGAGACGGCGGCGGAGTCTTCGGAATCGGTCTGATCTTGCGCCACTCGGCCCGCCGGTGGTTTTGGCAGCGCCCCCTCGGACTTGACGGCGTTGTCGTCCAGCAGCGGGGCGCCCACAGTGGGCCAGAAGACCGGTGGGGGCGGTCAAAATTGCGGGCGCGTTTAGAGCCCCAGGGTCGCTCTGGGACTCGGCCGAAACGTGTGACCCCACCAAAAGATTCCTTGTTCGCAGAGCAATCCATTGGTGGGGTCACACGTTCGCTTCGAGTCCTGTTCTGTTCAGCGACTCTGGAGCTCAAAACGCGTCTCAAACTGTGGCCGCGGCCGCCTCCACCGGTCTTCTGGCCCACTGTGGCGCCGCGACTGAAGCCTCCTTCCGCTCGGCATTGACGACGACGACGACGACGACGTCGACGAGGAAGTCCTTCGGCCGCGTCAGCGCTATTGACTCGCCGCGCCTCGTCGAGCCTCGAGTCGAGCCTCGAGCCACCCCGTTCCCGTTACCCCTACACAGCGACATCCTGCTTGCCCTGCGCGCGGCCCCGCGGCCTCCGCGGCCCCCCGGCGCAGAGGTGGGGCGGTGGGGCCCGCGGTGGCGGAGTGGGGTGGGGCGGGGCGGGGCGGGTGGCAGCGAGTTTAGCGTTGTCATGTCGGGGGGCGCGGCCGCGGCGCGGCGGTGGCGAACGCCTCGCTTTTTCGATGCGACGGCCGCGGTTCGACTCCCCACGCCCCTTCGCCCCGTTTTTTCGGAGAGGCCCCGTTTTAAACAGCTGGGGGCGCGACAAAGAAGAGTGCGCTCTAGGAATAAGAGGCGGCCTAAGGGGTTCCACCGCCGTGTGCGTACGGAGTGCATACTTAGAACAGATCCGGATATTTCCTCCAAAGAGTGTACTTCTAGAGAACACCCCGCTGCTGCCGTTGGAGTGTACCACTGTGTACTTCGGTGCACTTCCCTGTGTTCCCCGTGCACCGGCATGACCGCCGCCGCGCTCCGTCACTCCGTCGTCAAGGCTGTCTTTGCTTGCCGGGCGTTTTTCCCGGTCCATCCTCGCGTTCGACGGTTCGACGGCGGCGGTGCGGCCATGGTGCGGAGACACGCGGCGCGGCGCCGGGGGTCCCTG